CACACACACACACACACACACACACACACACACACACACACACACACTATGTGAAAAAAGTATTTTAAAAGTAGGATCTCTATCATATAAGGCCTATAATGCATTCAGGTAATCTTAATCCTTAGTTACTTTAATTATTACCCCTTTCTTACACATGATATTTTAAGTTCTCCCTTTCATTACTGTATGTAACCACTGTAGTGATATTTTGTTTGTGTTTTAACAAATAAAGCTAGCCTGAAGATTAGAGTGCAAAGCTAAGCCACTAGTTAGCTATTGAGGTCAGGTAGTAGTGGCATACACCTTTAATCCCAGGGAGACAGAGGCAGACCAATCTTTTAGTTCAAGGCCACCCTGGGCTACACGAAATTGATCCAGTCTAAAAGAGAAACAGAGCTCACACAAAGGTTATCCTAACACTTGGGATTTCATACCTTTAATCCCAGCACTAGCAATGTAGAGATAGGGGTGATATGGCTGGGCAGAGAGAGGACTATAAGGCTGGAGGAGACAGGAGCTCATTGCAGTCTGAGGCAGAAGTCTGAACAACAGTCAGTCTGAGGATGCATTGATAAGAGGTAGGAACTCTAGTGGGTGGCAGCTCTGTTTCTCTGATCTTCCAGCTTCTACCCCCTGATAGCTAACTCCAAAGTTTTATTATTAAGAACAATGAGAATTTGTGCTACAAACCACAGTGTCACCATGAACATCTTAAGTGCTCACTGACCGTTACTGTGCTTTCCTCTGTGTGTTTGTGTACATGCATAGTCATACTGTGTGGGTATATATGCATGTGGGAGGCCCAAGGCATCAAGATGCTGGGAGTCTTCCTCAATCCTTCTCCACTCTATTCACTGAGGCAAAAATTAAACCTAGATCTGGCCAAAAAGGCTATAATCTAGCCAGTCACTTTCCTCTAGGGATCTCCCTGTCTCTGCTTTCTAAGATTTGGGATTACAAAAAGGCAGCCATTTTACATGGCTTCTGGGTATCCAAATCCCTGTACTCATGCTTGTGGCTTGCATGACAAGTACAGTAACTGCTAAGGCACTTCCCTAGCCCTATCTTGCTTTTCATCTAAGTTCTGTACAGAACAAATACATCAAGCACTAAAAATAAAACAGTCACAGGTTTTTCCCACTCAAAAAACCAACAACTATCATAAGAAACTTCACTGAAATAAATGCTTACTTGAAATGGCTGGTTTGGAACTTGATATCTCTCCAACAAAGATCAACTCATCATCATCATCGTCTTTATTTTGAATTTCATCTACTTTCTGCTGCCATGGTTCCAACTCTTCTTCTTCACATTCCATAACAAGTTCTGCCATTTTTGAATTATCTAATTTCCTAAAGGAGAGAAACCCATATTTTCAAAAGGAAAAAAAACTGTTTTTGTAACAGGAAGTATGATAATTAAAGATAAGCTTTATCAATCTTAAAGGAAATTACTGAATAACTACAGATAGCAAGAATAAACTGAGAAAGCAATTTATATATCTAAACTAAGCGCTCAGTTTACCTATCATTCATTCAGGAGGTTGAAGTAACAGAATAGAATTATTCTGAGGCCTGTCTGTTCTACACAATGATGCCCTATCTCAAAACAAAGCTAGTAAAAAATAGCTAAGTAGCTAGAAGATTGGGGACAGCAGTTGAGTTACAGTGGCCAAAATTTTCTTTTTGTAATTTTTGCTTTAAACATAGAGATGTTTTGTTTGCATGTATGTCTGTGTACCACATGCATGTGATACCCCCAGAAGCAAGAAGTGGGGATGAGATCATCTGGAACTGGAATTCTTTGACAGTCATGTGGGTTCTGGTAATCAAACTGGGGTCCTCTGGAATAACAACCAATGCTCTTAACTGCTAAGCTAGCTCTCTAGCCCCAGGTGGCCAAAAATTTAAAATTAAATCCAAGCAAGCTAAGTTTATATTATATGACTAGGATATTATACATACCACAAAGAATAGTATATAATTATTACCTGAGACAAAAGCCCACCACTTGTGTTTATAAACCAAGCATAGGAGGCAATTAGATTGGAAGGAGAAAAAAATCAGCATCCGATTCAGAAATATTAGGGTAAAGAAAAAAGAAAAACGAGATACTAGGTTGAAAACAGGGAAAAAAGAGAAGCTTATTCTATTCCAGGATAGAGTAAACATTTCTCATCTCAAGAAATTAAACAAAGGACGCACTACAAATATTACACACCTCATAGCAAACATTTTAAAGCCTTACTCCTTTGGGGATGCTGTTGTTTGGTTTCTGTGATAGGGATTTTCCATGTAATTTGGGCTGACCTGTCCTGGAACTAATTATGTAGCCTCAAGCTGGCCCCAAACTCACAAATGTCCTGCCTCAGCCTGAGTGTTAGGATTTCTAATGTGTGTTGTCATACCAACTCAGTGCCACATTCTTAACATATGGATATAAGTTAGGCATGGTGGTGTACACCTTTAGTCCCAGCACTTGGGAGGCAGAGGCAGGCAGATCTCTGTGAGTTTAAGGACAGCCTGGTCTACACAGTGAATTTCAGAGTAGTCAAGGACTTGTCTCAAAACAAAAACAACATAAAACAAAAAAATTGCTGGAGAGATGGCTCAGCAGTTAAGAACACTTGCTGAGGATCAGGGTTCATATCCCACCAGTGACACTGGTGCTCACAACTACTTCTAGCTCCAGTTTCAGGGGATTTGACCCCTCTTTTGATCTCTGAGAGCACAAGACAAGTAGATGGTGCCCATACATAAATGTAAGCAAAACTCATAAAGTAAAATAAATACATCTTTAAAATAATCTAAAAAGAAAAAGTAACAAAAATGGATATGAATAACTAATGAACACCAAATTTGAGGAAAGTCTCTAATGTGAAAGACCAAAACAATCAAACAGATTAAAAGATATAAACAAAACAGATAATACAGAGGACAGGAGAAAATGATCTTTCTGACAAAATTTAATCAACGGGCTGGAAAGGTAGCTCAGTGAGTAAAGGTGCCTACTTCCCCAGCCCAATGACCTGAGTTGGTCTTGAACTCAGAGATCCACCTTTCTTTCCATCTTGAGCAGTGGAATTAAAGGCATGTGCACCCAGTCTCTAGATTTTTTTAAACTGGGAGTTATTTACAAGCTCATGAGCAACTTATGGAGGATGGCTTCACTACTGAAGAAAAAGTGGGGCTGGAGAAATGGCTCAGCGGTTAAAGGCAATGACTGCTCTTCCAGAGGACCTGGGTTCAATTCCCAGCACACACATGGCAGTTCAAACTGTCTGAAAATTGAATTCTAGGGGATCTGACACCTTCACACCAATGCATGCAAAATAAAGATAAATTTAAAAAAAAAAGAAAAAGTGGTTTCTTGAGGCCCACCCCCCCATGCAAAAGCTTTCAGTCTGTTTGGAGACAGGCATGAAGCATTCTCCCAGAAACAACTGCCTGTAAGTCTTGAAGAGGGTTGGGGCCCCTGAACCTGTCCCCTACTAATTATTTACAAATTTAGGCTATATCTATGGCCTCTGGAACTCATTCCCCTAGTAATTATTAACTGTCTAAAAAACCTTGGGAGGGGCAAGACCTCATCAGGCTCTCTTCTTGCCAAACTTGACTGTGAAACTTTTAACAGTCCATAATTCCTTGGGGAGGGGCAGGGCCTCATGGGTCCTCCTCTTAACAACTGTTAACCCCACCTCCCCTCAACATTTTTGGTTTTATACTTAATTGTGAGGGCCACACCCAGTCAATTATCTCCTTCCACCATATAGGTCCCAGGGATTGAACTCAGGTCATCAAGCCTGGTCCTACTGAACCATCTCACAATCTCACATCACAACAATATTTAATTGCCTATAAATCCTTGGGGAAGGATGTGGCCTCATGAGCCCCCTCCTTTACTAACTGTTAACTGTCTATAAATCTCGGGGAAGGATGTGGGATCATTAGCCCCTTTCCATTCCATGAAGAAAAATGAACCCAATCTTGTGTAGGTCTCCTTCAGGAAATCATAGCTGCTGATAGTTCAAGAAGGTAATGGCTACATCATTCCCAGAGAACATAGTGCTCCATAACAATTGGCTAATTGTAAGTGAAGTTAGGATAGCCTGGGATACATGAGATGGTGTATCAAAAAAAAAAATTAAAAAGAGGGTATGCAAGATGGCTTAGTGGCTGCCAGGTGGTAGCGGAGGCACATGCAGGTGGATCTCTGTGAGTTTGAGGTCAGCCTGGTCTACAGAGCTAGCTCCAGGATTGCTAGGGCTGTTACACTGCGAAATCCTGTCTCATTACCCCACCCCACCCCCCAAAAAAGGCTTAGTGGATGAAGATGCCTCTACCACTAAGTCTGACCACCTGAATTTGAGTACCAGTACATATAGCAGGAAAGCAATGACTCTCACAAACTGTTCTCTCACTTCCTCATGTCACATGTCTGAGCGAGCATGCATACAAGCACACACCCACATTTTTTTTTAAAGGATGGAGCAATAGCTCAAGCAGTAAAGTTCTTGCTCTGCAAGCATGGGACCTGAGTCTGATATTGCTAGAATCCATATAAGAATGCTGGGCATAAAAGTATGCACTTGCAATTCCAGAAGTGAGGAGGCAGAGAAACACAGTTGCTTGTAGGACAAATGGTCTGTCATAGTCAGTAACCTCCAGGTCAATGATGAAACCATGTCTCAAGGAAGTGGATGGCACCTGAGGTTGTCCTGTGGCTTCTACATACACACACCTGCGTGCATACGTGCGCACACGCACACACAAATACACAATGGATAATAAAAAATTAAACTAGGCATGGCTGCTCACAGCTGTAACCCCATCCCCAAATGGGGACTATTAAATGTACGCATCATTTATTACTTTCCCAAATTGGCTTATTCCTGAATGAATGTAAATTTAGCAAATAAACTAATGAATATTTTAAGCAATTACTACTTGAAAAATAGGATGAATTTTAGAATTAGAAATAAAAATTAAAAAGTATGTTACATAAAACATAATTATCTAGACACGTTTCAATAAATGATATCTTTTTGGTTTTTCGAGTATAAGTGATATCTTTAACTAAGACTTATTCTTTATACTTTAGAAATGAATGCTATTATTACTATAATAAAGTACATATAAATACTTTGCTTATGTATTTTTTTTATCATTTCTAACTGAAAAGTAAAAGAAAATTACCTAAAGTACTTCATAGCTTAATTCATCACCAAATTTCCATTACCTTCTATATTCTAGAGGAAAACAAAGAATAAAACGTAGTCCCATTCTTCAGAAGTTTACAATCTTATTTGTTTACGGTATTTGGACATTTTATCTTTATGGTGTTGGTAATCAAATTTAAGATTTTACATGTGCTAAGCGAGTGCTTTTCTATAAGCAACATCCTGCAGCCTTATTTGGACCTTAAAAAAAAAAAACAAAACAGGTATTGGCCAGGAAGTGGTGGCATATACTTTTAATCCCCACACTCAGGTGGCAGAGGCAGATGGATCTCTGTGAGTTTGAGGCCAGCCTAGTCTACAAGAACTAGTTCCAGGACAGGCTCCAAAGCTACAGAGAAACCCTGTCACAAACAAACAAACCCCCAGGTGTTACATTAAAATAAAAAATTTGAACTGCTTCATTAAAAAGAATTTTAAGTTATATCTTGAATTCTCATACACATACCATATACTCTACAAATTCTCTTTAAAAATAAAAAATTTTAAAAACATCTTAGTTATAGCTAGATGTGGTCACATTAAAATGTAATCCTGGAATTTGAGAGGGAAAAGAGGGAGAATCATGAGTTTGCGGCTGGGATAGGATACACAGGAAGTCAATGCTATCCTGAGCTACATAGTGAAAGCCTGGCTTGAAAAATCAAAAGCTAGGTGTGTAGCTCAGTGACAGAGCATTTGCCTAGCATGCACTAGAGCCTGAGCTTGATTCTTAGAACCGAGAGGAGAAAACAGATTGTCTCTGCTGCTAAAATGCATCAGTTGAACTGACCAGATGGTTCAGTGAGCAAAGACACTTGCCACAGAGCCTGATTACCTAAATTCAATCCCTGGAACCCACGTGACGGAAAGAGAAAACCAACTATACAAGTTGTCCTTTGAGAACGCATGCTCACACTGAGCACATGTGCACACACCCACCCACACACTAAAATAATTAATAAAAAACAAGTTAAAAGCATTTAAAATAAATGCAGTAAAAATAATTAAATGCATTTGTTTATATTTTCTTTAATAAAAAAGCAATGCTAAGTGGTAAAATGCTGGGCTAAAAAGGCCAGTCTAATTGGAAAATTTAACAAACAGAGGAAAGGAGTTGAACAGAAAAAGTTGAGGTGTGGAACTTTTCATCATCAGAACTTTTTCAATACTATTCTTCGATTTTTCAACATACTTGGATGTAGTATTATTCAAGCGCTAAAATACAAAAATATAAAGTCTCGGGGTTAAGAGCACTGACTGCTCTTCCAGAAGACCTGGGTTCAATTCCTAGCACCCACATGGCAGTTCCCAACTGTTTGTAACTCCAGTTCCAGGGGACCTGATACCCATGGCAAAACACTAATGCATCTAAAAAACAAAACATTAAAATAATGTATAGAGGGGCTGGGAATGATTGCTCACACCTTTAATCCCAGGACATGGGAGGCTGTGACTTTGATCCAGCCTGATCTACAGAGTAAGTTCCAGGACAGCCAGGGCTGTTACATAGAGAAACCCTGTCCTGAAAAACAAAACAAAAAACAAAAAAGAAAGAAAAAATGTAGAGAGGAAAAATTGAATAATATTTCTTAAAAATGTTAGGTGACCCAGGCTGGCAAGATGGCTCAGAGGTTAAGAGCACTAGCAGCTCTTTCAGAGATCCTGAGTTCAATTCCCAGCAACCTCATGGTGGCTCACAACCATCTATAACGTGATCTGGTGTCTTCTTTTTGCCTACAAGCAGAACACTGTATACATAAAACCCTCTTTACCTATCTTTCTCAGGTACTTTGAGATGCCCATAAAAAGTGAGACATTATTCAATGAACTGAACCTTAGGTGTAAGTCAGAAGACACTTGTTCAAGAACTGGCTCTAAGGAGACAGGCATGTTGGCTCTTACCTGTAATCACTGTATTTGGGAGGTTGAGCCAACAGAATCAAGAGTTCATGGAGAGCCTGGGCTATGTGGAACCCTTTCAAAAACCAAACAAAAAGGGGTTTCAGTGAGATGGGCTCAGCAGGTAAGGGGGCTTACAACCAAAACAAAACCAGAGATTCACTGTGGGTACCTACTCAGTAGGAGAGAACTTCGTATTATCAAGTAGTCATCTGATCTTCAAACTGCGGTGTGCGCACACCTACATGCATAATACACCAAAAAAAGAGAAATACAAACAAATAAATGTAATTTAAAAGAAAACACACCACAACTGGTTCTATTTAAGGACCATATAATCGTTTGTGGCTATTTCTTCATCTTTGCAACAGTTCTTTAATACATCACTGCCCTGTAAAGGAGCGACAGCAATAAAACATTCAAATGCTATGATAATTGCTTTTGCAGATGTTAAAGCAAATCACACAGATCTAACTGAATTTTATAAATAAACCAGCACCTTCATAGACTTGTTTTTTCTTTTTTAACATAAGATGGCTTGAATTTATACTGTAACTCTCAAAGCAAGACACCTCACAAACCCTTCGGAGAACTGTGTAGTTTAAAAATGTTTTTAGGTATCGAATACAGGTGTAGAGCCACTAACAGGAACTAAAACTCATAATCCTACCCCAACCAACAAAAGCAAAAAAATTCCAGCTCACAGATTTAAAATAAAAATGAGCAAATCCTCCAAACAAAAGAGAGGTCCTTGGATAAAATCTCTCGCATTTGGAAGAAACTGGTTCCCTTGTCACTGAGACCCCTTCCTGAGAAGAATTCAAACTTGAGGTGCATTGAGAGGGGGCTCCCATGTCTGCTGCAGGTTTTCCTCCTCCGAATTGAGATGCTTGCCCCATCCATCGCTAATAAAACCCCCGCACAGCTCAGTGAGGGAAAAATCACGCCTCTTAAGTACACATCTCTTCCCTCGGGGCTTTTATCCTCCAGAGTCTAGACAATAACTAAATAGAGGAAGATTTCTGTGACCGAGGAGGGCAGTCCCTTTGGGAAGATTAAGGAGACCAGCACAGAAAAACTCCTGGCCGTCCAGGGAAAGAGGTTGGGCAGAACCGAAGGGCCTCAGGAGCCCGAGAATGGAAAGTTCGGATTGGCCCACCAGCCTTTCCCAAGGCGCCCGGGAGGATCTCATCGCTCTCCAACGTACAAAAGAGACATCCGATGTACAAAAAAACAAACAACAAACAACAACAACAACAACAAAAAAACAGACGAAAGGGCTCTCGAGAAAGCAAAGCGGGAAAGGCACGGAGGCCCCACGGCCTCCCCGGCCTCCGTAGACCGCGACCCACGCGGCCCGGCCGGCTTGGGGCCCCTCCACAGTTGAGGCCTCGCCTCGGACGGGGCAGCTCGCGGTCACCTCCGCCAGCTCCACGTTACCTCGGCGACCTTTCCGAAAGCCCCCTCCCTCCCCGGGGCCGAAACAAGATGGTGGGCCACGCGCCATCGCGCCACGGGGTCCCTACTCTCCACAGCCACGGGAACCCCCGCAGCGGAGCGCGCCGCAGTTGCAGCCGCTGCCCTCGCCTCGGAGACAGGGAGGTGCGGGGAGGCTTACCCACGACGCTGCAGGACGTCCGGAGCTCAGAGAAGGAGGAGGAGCGGGAGCAGGAGGAGGAAGAGGCGGAGGAGGCGGAGCAGGAGGAGGAAGAGACGGAGGAGGGGGGGCCGAGGGGGACAGGAGGCGGGGAGGAGGCGGAGGCCGAGGCCGAGGCGGAGGCCGAGGCTGAGGCCGAGGCGGGGAGGAAGAGCGGAAAGGGAGGAGCGTGAAAACACGGGGTGACCTCCACTCACAGGGCGGTGGCGGCGGCCGCGGGAGAGGTCGCAGCCTGGAGTTCCAGCGCCAAATGAGCTGCGCAGAGGAGACAAGCAAACTAGAAGAGCGCGCACTGCCTGATGGGTAACGTATCCATCCGGGCACCTTGGAGACGGCCGCCGGGCCAATGGTGGGTGCTAGCATGTGCTCCGACACGAACAGCCTCGAAGGCTCGGCCGCTAGACTGGATGCCCGCCTTGAGAAAGCGGAAAGGGGCCGCGGGAACTCTGACCCCCGCCTCGCCCAAACTACGGCTCCATATTGGATCTAAGCATACGCAAACAGGAATTCCGAGATCTCCCTGCGAATAAACATTAAAGGCACCCGTATTTAAAAACACTGGACTTGACATAGCTTTCGCGTTTTAAGAGAGAAGAGAAATTAAATCGACTTTTAAAGTCATTGACTGATGGTACCCACCACATCGTTTTAAACACAGTTTTGTTTCCTTTGCCACTCCTGCCTTATAAAGTCCTATAGTTATAAAAAGTTCTTTTAAATTTTTTTTTTTGAGCCAGGGTTTCTTTGTGTAGCCCTGGCTGTCGTGGAATCCCCTCCATAGGCCAGGTTGGCTTTGAATTCAGTGATCTACCTGCCTCTGCCTCCCGAGTGCCACTACACCTGGCTTTTTCAAATTTTGCCAGAAAAACACTTGCCAAAATACTGCTTACATAATCATTATATAAACCATGTCTTTTAAATTTTTTTTTTTTTTTTGTATTTTCGAGCCAGGGTTTCTCTGTAACTTTGGAGCCTGTCCTGGTACTAGCTCTTGTAGACCAGGCTGGCCTCGAACTCACAGAGATCCGCCTGCCTCTGCCTCCCGAGTGCTGGGATTAAAGGTGTGTGCCACCACTGCCCGGCCTCTTTTAAACAGTATTTCTTATCATTTCTACCTTTTCCTTTGGTGTGGGCAGAAAAAGTTTCAAGGTAAAATCTGCATTTCAAGCTGTTCTGCTTTTGGCACCTTCACTAAGTTAAATAAGAATTCCAGGCCTGAGAGATGGCTCAGTCAGTAAGGGCCATCACTGGGACCCACATGGTAGGTGAGAACAGACTTCCTCAAGTTGTTCTCTGATCTCCACATGCAGCCCGGGCCATGAACACAAAACACACACACACACGCACGCACGCACGCACGCACGCACGCACACACACACGCACACATGCACACTACATATTGGGTTTCCTGGGTAGAATGTTTAAGTTTTGGGGGAGCCATTCTACAGAGGCAAACAACTTTAGTCCCAGCACTCAGGAGGCAGAGGTAGGCAGGTTTCTGTGAGTTTGAGACCAACCTGGTTTATAGAGGTAGTTCCAGGACAGGCTCCAAATCTTTAGTGAAACCTTGTCTCAAAACAAACAATAAATTTGGGGGGAGAAAAAAAAACCCGCTGCTGCTTGTCTCTAAAAACCTTTAAAAAATAGGTCTCAAACATTGAGGCAGTTTGTATGATGCATCAATCAGAAGCATGGTGTCAAGAAATTTAAAAGACAAATTTTAGTGCTACAAATGTTTTTTACCAAGTTCATTTGTGTGTAGGTAGGGTTCCTTAATTTATCCTTACAGTTTAGCCAATAGAAACATTGCCAAGCAAACAAATAGCAAATTCTGTGTGACATGAAAAGAATGGCTTTCAATCTATAATTCTTAGTGGCAACAGAATAGTTTTTAGATTCAAATCTGCTTGTGTGGATGAGCATGCACCAAGCTATTTCCAATGAAGCTTAACAACAAAGTCTTTCAGTTGTCATTCTCACCAGTTTACCTCTTGACTAACAACGAAGGGTCCAAGAACCCTCAGAGAAATTACGTTACAAGAATATCTTGAGGGAGTAATGACTACCAGGAGCTCCTTATAGATTATTTCCTTCCCTCAGGCTTCATTTTATATATGTTGCCACTTTTAATTCAGTATTTGCAAATCTCCCTGGAGACTTGGCCTGTATGATAAACTAGGGGTCACCATTCAACTGCTGGCATCATTCTACAGAGGAAACCCAGGATGTATTCCTGTATGCTAGTGGAACATACTTGAGTCTCAGTTTGATCAAACAAACCATAAGAAAAATATTTTGATACAGTTTGAACAATATCTTAACATTGGTTTTCATGCTATTATAATTACAAAAACATTAGTGTAATAATGATATTCTGTTTAGAGGTCTTTGGGAGCCTTTCATATCTTGAACCATAACACATGATTTGTAAATATTTTCTTCTGTTAGTCGTTTCTGTTATCTCTTCCTTGAGAGTACATAATTCACTCACCATTTTTACTGTTATTTTTATATCATAAATAAGAAGCCACTGCCTAATCCAAACTCATGAAAATTAAAATCTATGTTGTCTACTTAATAATTTACACCTCTAGAATTCTGACAAATTTCCCCTTTCTTCAGTTTTTGTACAAGTTTATATTAAAAATTGGGCATATTCTCCTCATACGCTCCTAAGCATCCTTTTTTTCATTTTTCCCCTCTTTAAGTCTCTCTTGTTCCCATTAACACTTTTACTTCTATATTCACACTATATATACATACATTATTTTAATTATTAATTAACTAATTTATCAGCGGGAGTCTCAGTGAAGCTAGTTTGACCTTAAACTCACTATGTAACTGAGGCTGGCCTTGAATTTCGGATCACTTTCAGGAATATGACCATTTTAACAATATCATTTTTGCTGATCCATGTTGATCATTTATCAACTTTTATTCGTTCTTCAGTTTTTTGTTTGTTTGTTTGTTTGAAACAGGGTCTCACTACATAATCCCTAGCTGGCCTGGAATTGGTTCTGTACACCAGTCTGTCCTGTCCTCAGATTCCCAGAAAATGGCCCTCCTTTGCCTCTCCAATGCTGGAATTAAAGGTGTGCGCCCCCATACCCAGCATATTCTTCCACTTTTATCTTCAGTGCTTTATGGGTTTCATTATGGAAGTCTCTCTCTCACTTGATTACGTTTATTACTATGTACTTTATTGTTTTGAAGATTGTTCTAAGATTTACTCTTCTAAGTTTTTTCTCAGTGAATTGATTATTGGTGTATAGTAAAATCTATTGGCTTTTGAGTGTAGACTTTATATTCTACTATTTTGCTAAATTTATCACTTCTAAAAGTCTTTTGTTACATCTTTGTTTCGCTTCTGATTTTAGAGAACATGCTTTCAGTATGTCCCCATTCAATAGAATGCTGACCTTTGGGTTGTTGTACAGCTTTCATTACATTCAATTTATTCAAAGCATGTCTTTTCTTTTTTTCCCCTCTAGATAGTGTTTCTCTGTGTAACAACTCTGGCTATTCTAGAACTTACTTTGTAGACGAGGCTGATCTCAAACTCACAGAGATCCTCCTGCCTCTGCCTCCTGAGTGCTGGGGTTAAATGTGTGCGTTACCACTGCTTGGCAATTCATTAACTTTCATATCATAACCATGCCACAGAGGTCTTGACAATTGTTATCATGATTACGTATTCTTTTTTAAAGAGTTATTTTTATTTTTAATTATGTGCATGTGTCTGGGTGTTCATAGACTCTAGAAGATATGATCAGGCCGGGCAGTGATGTCACACCCATTTAGTCCCAGCACTCAGGAGGCAGAGACAGGTGGATCTCTGTGAGTTTGAGGCTAGCCTGGTCTAAAAAGCGAGTTCCAGGACAGCCAGAGCTGTTACACAGAGAAATCCTGTCTCAAACAACAACAACAACAACAACAACAACAAATTTTTAAAAGAGAGAAGAGAGCATCAGATTCCCCAAGGCTACTCAAGTTAGAGGCTGCTGTGAGCTAACTGACATGGATTATAGGAAACAGAAGTTGGGTCCTCTGCAAGATCAGTGTGAGCTTTTTGTTTGTTTGTTTGTTTTTGTTTTTCAAGATGGGGTTTCTCTGTGTAACAGTCCTGGCTCTCCTGGAAACTTCTTTGTAGACTAGGCTGGTCTCAAACTCACTGAGATCTGCCTGCCTCTGCCTCTAAAGTACTGGGAGTAAAGTCATGCACCACCGCTTCCCAACCAGTGTGAGCTCAGACTATTTCCAGCTTCTATTTGCTGTGGGACAATGGTCTGTACCCTGTCACTTGTATTTTAAATAAATGCTGATTTAGTCAATGACCAGGCAGGAAGTATAGGTGGAACAACCAGGGAGTAAGTAGAGGCAGGGCAAGGAGAACAGGAGAATACTGGGAAGAGGACTCAGTCTGCACCCATCATCCAGACACAGAGGAAGCAAAACATGATTGCCTCACCGAAAAAGGCACCAAGCCCTGTGGCTAACACAGACAAGAATTATGGGCTAATATAAGTTATAAGAGATAATAAAAAGTCTGAGCTAATAAACCAATCAGTTTATAATTAATGTCGACCTCTGTGTATTTATTTGGGACTGAACTGCTGTGGTGTTGGGTGGGACAGAAACCTGTCAACACCTAATTTGTTCTTTATTGCTGGCTGAGTGTAATGCTTTAGATCCTGAACATTTTTCTCCCACTTGGTCTAGTGTATTGGTGATGCTTTCCACCGAGGGCTTTT